ATAAAAGTGAAATATTAAAACATAGACCTTGCAGACAATATGATTATAAACAAATCAAGAGAAACAAAAAAAAACTAAATATTGCTGCTTAAAAAAATGTATATTTAAGCAACTCTTTGCCGAGTTCACATTAGATGTATACGGAACGAGGTCATATTATTCCTTACAAATATTGTTGAAGTATCTGCTTGCACGCACAATGTAACTGTTCTGCCTGTAGTTAGATGAGGAACGGGATATATATAAATGTGGATTAAATCTAAATATTTTATTAGGTACATTGCCATTAAGAACCTTCAACAAGAAAAACATCTGCAATCTTAAACTACCTATTTGTTATTAATTGGAGGAAACCGTATTGCGAATAATATTTTTTTTTACAGATTCAATGCCAACGTGAAATTCGAGGGACACGCCAAGCACATTGTTCCTGAACACCATCAACACCACCACCACTGATTACGCTGATCTATTTTGTTGACAAAAGTTATTTAATTTGTTATCGTAATTGTTGACCGTTATACTATGTAGTATTGTAAATATTAAATCAGTCATAATCAAAATGTCATTATTTTCTTAACAAACCCTTTGTTGGTATAAAACAAAACTTCCGTATGAAAATCAAAGTGTGACTTTAATATTAATCTACTAAGGAATTTGTTATACTATGACTATATAGTGTAAAGGCAAAGCTGAAATTATTATTACTTCAGTAGCAGCTTAACAAACGTGATAACTATATTATACTAGCGAATCCCGTGAACTTTGTTTAGCCTTGGACAATTGGAAAATCTTCGTCATTTTTTTTTGAGAATCTTCTCCTATAAACTAAACTCAATTTGTTCAACTGTTCTCAAGGTTTTAAAGAAAACCACTACAATTTGATAAACGTCTGGAGTTGATCTGATAGTGGAACCGAGAGACAGTCGAGGGCACTCCTGAAGAATTTACACTTGTGATCCCGTGTTTGGGCTTGAATTATTTGTATTGATGAGAGCATAACACTTAGATGGAGTGTAATTGTCATTAGAGGTCTGATGATGAAATAGTATGATAGTTTAGGGAACTCCTCAACGGTTAACAGTAGCTACCTCGTGTTTTAGTTTGAGTAATTTATATTGATGAGAACTCTACACCTAGCTAGGGTATGTTTATCGTTAAGGGTCTGTTGATGAAGTAGTATGATAGTTAAGGGAGCTCCTCAATGGTTAACAGTAGCGATCTGGTTTTCAAACTTAAAAAAAATGTATTGATGAAAATTTTACACCCATGTCGGTTGTAACATAGTATAATATCTTAGTACTAAACGAAATAGTACAAAATAATAATAAGAAACTGCGTTTAAAAATATCGACATCAAATACTAAAAACTCACGAAAATTATTAACTAAAAACCAACAAATAACTACTTATTTATTTATTTATCATTTTATGTACACTATGCAGCAGGCAATATTATAGAGGACAACACATTGAAAGCACGAGGTACATAGGTACCGCATATCCTTTAAGGGATTTCTTCCTGCGGATCTGTGACAGGAAAATGAATATAAACATAAGACACAGGGTAAAGGTTACATGCAATGAATACAAAAGAAAAATACTTGAACGGAAACTTAAAATTAAAAACCGAAATATAGTAAAACTAGCGGACCCAACAGTTGTTGATGAAATATGAAGCATGAACGCATGAATATCATTTATTTATTGTCTTGTCTGTGAATGTCAAATTGTCTATGGTTGTTCTTCTTTTTAAATTATCTGTGGTCTGGTAATATACGCTTCGTCATTGTTAAATTACACTCCGTCTTTTATTTAATGTTTCTATTAGATTAGTTTAATAAATCATCCATCTTACAAGTTTTCATCAGTTGTCCTGCATATCTACTTGTATTGTAACCTTATACGACAAAATAAAAAAATACGTGTCTAATGTTTTTTCATTATCTAACTGACGGACTAATAATTAGATTTATAATTTTCATTTCCTGGCAACTACAATTAATAACTGCACCTCCATTTAGAAAATTTAAGCAAACTAAATTTCTCCACTAATAATCTACTGCATAATATCAAAAAAATGAACCGTAAAACAAAAATTCTGATTTGCACACTAATTGTTCAATATTAGGTTAGGTTAGGTTTGTTTTTTTTTTGTTGCACTCGAAGAATTATTAGATTTACTTTTACTTAAAAAATAGTGTACATACAACACAGTTAAGCTTTAAAAATCTAACAGTATAGTATATACATTGGTTTATTTGATGAGCAAATTTAGTGTTCAATTCAGTATTTTTGGTGGTAATTTCGAATATTTTGATTGAACAAATTTACAGTTAAAGTATTAAATACCACTATTATAAGTATGATTTATAAATCTCACTTACAAAACAACTATATAAAAATAGGCCGCAATACAATAGAATGTAGAGAAATTATGGGTAAATTTCTCTACTTCATTATTTTCACATTCTCAATATTTTATCATACTTGTAATTCAATTCAACTACACGTAGAGAAGCTGATAAAGTTACCTTTTATAACTATTATATTAAAATAAACATATTATTACTGAGAGAAAATATTTAATTGTTACATTCAATTTTACAACAAATTCTTGCGAAAACAAAATAAATAATGACTTAGACATAAGGTTCAACAATGAGGTCATTTAACAATTAACATCAGAATCAGTGGTGGTGGTGGTGTTCAGGAACGATGTGCTTGGCGTGACCCACGAACTTCACGTTGGCATTGAATCTGTTGATATGAAATGAATAATTAGAAAATTCAATCGCAGACTATATTAATTCTTTTTGTGACTGTACGTGATGTACTACTCACCCAGTCTTCTTATCAGCGTGGTACTCTACGATTCTGACAGTACCGTCGGGCTCGTGCAGACTGTACACGCCCTTCACGACATCTCCATCACGAGCTTCGTGTTGAGACTTCTTGTCACCGGTGTGAGGGTCCTCCACTTTGTAGGCGAATTCATATTTAGGGTGAGACTGTAACACGAAACAAATTGTTATGGAATACTGTAGGATACACTTTGTGTCAATGGAAGACTAGACAATGAAATAAAATTTTGTCTTACATAGTAGACAACGTGCTTCTCGGTGCCATGTCCGTGGTGCTGCTTTATGCTCTGTGACGAGGAAGCGTGACCGTGATGTTCCTCGTGATGGTGTTCTCCATGATGTTGTTCCTCGTGGTGGTGGTCATCATGGTGGTACTGCTCGTGGTGGTGGTCATCATGGTAGTACTGCTCATAATGGTGTTCATCATGGTGGTTCTGTTCGTGTTTCTTGCCTTGTTCCTCGTGGTGCTCCTCGTGGTGTACAGGGTGTTTGGTCTCGTGAGTGTGGTGCAGTACGATGCTCTGTGAGGAGATAGCGTGACCGTGACCATGGTGCTGGTCATGTCCTTGCGGCCGCGCAGCAACCGTCGCGACCACAGCGGCGAGTAGAAGAACCTAAAAACCAAGAAATTATTATCGAATTCGAAATTATATTTTATCTTTTTTATGATAAGAATATCGCAATAATTATTAAATTTAATACCTTGTACATTTTAATCCTTTATTTTCTTTACTCTTTGAGTGGAAGCAAGTGACTGATAGTCTCTTGAGAAATGTGATTCCTTTTTATACATAATATCTTTAAAACACAGAGCACTACGAGTATGTACACGTGTATGACCAGTTTAAGTAAGAGTAAAATTAATACTGACCTTGAGTAAAGTGGTAAACCTGAGTTAATTGACTCTTTACTTTCATTGTGAAGGGCATTGACATTTATTTAGTTAAATAACTGCTTTAATTAAAGCGATGTAATATCAAAAACTGGTTTATGTGAACCAAAATCGAAACCTTATATACATAATAATATTGAAATATGTAATTATGTGATACGTGAGTCACATAATTAAAGAACTAAGAAGGTATGGTTACATCTATTGCACTTTTCACCACGAGTACCTAATATTAAGCTACATACAGTGGCGTAACTACAAAGTAGCAAGTCAACAAAATGCCACGGGCCCACCTGGAAGGAAGGCACCGTTCAGAGGTTGTCGTCAAAACATTCCTGTTTTGTAATGAGAAAGAGGCCCATCCGAATTCGCCACAGGATCCGAATGGTATAGTTACGCCATTGGCTACGTACCTATCTACATATAAGAGACTCTTGTGGAAAAGCTAAATACGAGTACCTATTAAATTACGCCATAATAATAGAAGAGGATGTCGCATTAAAACCGATGGCATAGATAAATAGGCAATTGTTTGATACATGCACATGATATTACATAGATACACATAACATCACGCCTTTTATCCCCGGAGGGTTTTTTTTTTTTTTAACGGGGGAAATCATCGAATGACTGCTCCCGCCTGGGTGAGGCGGGAGGGAGTGTCAGACTCTTACTGACTAAAAACCACCCCGTTCCTTCTCCTGCACGTCGAGTCGGAGCCCCGGTTACCCGTTAGGTTCTCCGCGACATCCCCGAAGGGGTAGGCAGAGATTCATATCATACCACTGTTTACTTATTACAGTGTGCATTATTCCGCGGTAAATTAGGCAAACTTTGACTGATACAAAAAAAACCTTTTTTTAAACTGAAAATGACTCAAAGATAAAGAATGACACAACCAAAGGTTAAATATTATGCAGTATAAAAAGTATGCAGTATAGCGATACTTTTATTGCTATACTGCATACGTTTTTATACACAATTATAATATTTTTTTACCGTGTAAGACAATAAAATAATGGTTTTAATGCACGTTTGTTATTTCGAAATTTTTATGAATGAAGGTACATGTTCTGGTCGTAAAGAAAGGAGTTGATTAACTGGATACTGTATCAAGGGCAGATAAAGTATTCAAAATGAGGCCTATACTGTAAACTGATTGAATTTTTTTGATTATTACGAAATTTCGTCTCACAATCCCTTTATTGAAGTGTATAAAAACCAAATTGTACTTTGATAAATTATCACTTACTATTTGGTGCTCCAAGAATTAACAATACAAATCATCAACATGTTCAAGGTACCAATACAGAAATATTTATTTTAAGTTCAGGACAACTTTTGAGTAGAGAGTAGATAACGGGAAAGTGTGTCACAATCGAATGATTTACATTTGTATAAATAGAACTGTATGACAGGGTGTGGGATTTAGTAGTCTCAAGACTAAAAATACAATTAACAAATTGTAAGAAGACTTAATAATATCCTATTACCTTTTAAACAGATCATCCTAGCAGCTGCTGTGGTAGCGGTAGTCGCGGCGCGTCCTCAGGACGGTCACCACGAACACCACCACCATGCCTCCTCCTCACAGAGCATCAAGCAGTACCACGGGAAAGCTACCGAGAAACACGTCGAGTACTACGTAAGATAATGGATCAATTCAATCTAAGTTTTTAGTACTTCTAAATAGGTTTGATTTTATTTAACACAATGTATTATTTCAGTCTCATCCCAAATATGAGTTTGCGTACAAAGTAGAGGACCCTCACACTGGTGACAAGAAGTCCCAGCATGAGTCTCGTGATGGTCACGTCGTGAAGGGCGTGTACAGTCTGCATCAGCCTGATGGCTCTGTCAGAATTGTAGAATACCACGCTGACAAGAAGACCGGGTGAGTATTCTTACACAATCCTTCATATCTTTGAGAATAAAATATGACGTAATGTAAGGATCATAGTTCTAATGCATTTTTATTGTTTGTCAACAGATTCAACGCCAACGTGAAGTACGAAGGTCACGCTGTACACATTGTTCCTGAACATCACCATCACCACTAATTCCTTAATACTTCTTAATGACTGTTAAATAGTTACCTCTAAAATTGTTGATTGTTTTGCCTGTAAATATATCTTATTTTAACATTTATTTCTTTTTATCATTATAAAATCCTACCTTTTATAACAAAAATATACTTTTAACTTGACTGTCCAAATGTTTAGTATATTCGATTAAATACCTCAACTAATTCCTCAACATAAGTATAGACCTGTTCCTATTACAATCTTAACATTGAAGCTTTTTAAGGCTGCGATGACGTCACGGGAAAAATGAAGACAAAGACTTATTGCACCGACCCTAAGCAAGCAGAAGTAGAAACAAGGACTGTTAAATATTGAAAATATTTTTCGAAATATCATCTTTTAATGAATTCTGTATCAAATTAATTAACACTCTAATTTATTATTATAAATATTTTACTTCACTGAATCACATGTGCTTGTAAAACTAAAACACATATTTTAATGACGCTTGACGCCCTTGCGACAGCGTGTCTAATAAAAAAACGGTTTATGAACAATCAAATAACAAATCTAGACTTACTTTCGCAGACGTATTGGTTTACTTTTACGAAAGCATTACAAATAGTTTTTACGTTTCGTGCATAAATACACCAATACCAAGCTAATATTAATTGAATAATTGCTATATTTACACATATCCTATTGATATAAAAGCTGTTGTTTAGAAAAAGTAGCGATCAGTTTATTTTTGCGTTCAGTTTAAACAACAGTAGAAATGGTGCTAAAGGTAATTAAATTAAGGAACGTTTTTAGATTAATGCGGGAACAGTGAATGTTTAAAAAGTGCAGTGTCTATTATTTATAAATTATTGTGACGTTTTGTAACGTGTTAAATATTATAATTTTCTTATATTTCAAAGGTTTTGTGCCTGATATTTAAATATGAAACTTAAAGTGATAAATGTATCTGTTTATATGCCGTCAGTTGTATGTATCTTTGAAATAATAGGAGAATGAAGTCCTTATTGAGAACCTTATAATTTAGTCTTAGTAGTTGTCTAATATGTATGTAAAATCGGTTACCAATTGGTTTCAATAGTCTATATGTATAAAAATTAATCTCGTTTTCCTTTGGTCACTACATTACGAGTAAATGGCTGGACTGGATTACGAGTGAATGGATTTCATTAATTATTTTATTTTTATATTTATTATTATTAGGAGAAGGTTCTTAAGGCAGAAAATATCCTATATTTCCTACGGGAATGGGAGAAAACGGGATTTCGCGTACGAAGTCGCGGACATAAGCTAGTAGAGAATAAAGTTCAGAATAGAAATAGAATAGATACCATCTTTAGGAACATGTTTACGACAGGATGTGTTTAATCATATCTCCACAAAGTACAGCAAACAAACTATAATGTTACAAAAATTACAGGTGGTATGTGCCCTAAGCGTTTTGGCACTGGTCACCGAAGCCGTGACAGTGCACAAGCAACACAAACATGCGTTCTCATCGCAGCACTTCCTCCGACATGATGGCCATGCACAGAAAGTGTACATCATAGAACATCACAAGCCAAGCAAGCATGACCCTCATAAGAAGGAAGAACATAAGCATAAACATGTGGACTACTATGTGAGTATTATTAGACTTTGGTAGATTCAAAACGTAAATATTTTTTATTTGGGCTTACACTGAGTGGGTGACCCTTTTAGCATAGGCATGTTGTCGGCGTCTCTCTTCTAATTCTTTTGTTTTCATTTTTCAACTCGAATGTTTTTACTACTTCCACGGTCGATACTGTATTGTCTTTTTTATATTTTATTTATGCTGTATCGTGCCTGGTGCTGAATAATTGTTTTTACTTTCTTTCTTTCTTTATTTGAAACGAAAAAAACATATAAATCGTAAACTCCATAGTATTGTTTTGTAAAATATGATAGCTTATTTCTTTCATAATTTTAACCAATATGTATATCTTTGTACAGATGTTGTTTTTTTTTTCTTTTTCCATACTTGTGTTTTATACAACAGATTTTTTTGCTGTATCTAATTGAAAAAGTAATTTCGATTTATCAGAGAATAATGAAATGTATTTTTGCTTCCAGACTCATCCTAAATACAAGTATGGGTACAAAGTGGAGGACCACCACACTGGTGACAAGAAATCCCAACATGAACATCGTGATGGAGACTCCGTGAAAGGATACTATGAGTTGCATGAACCTGGTGGTACAGTCAGAAGAGTTGAGTACCACGCTGATAAGCATAGTGGGTGAGTTGACTTAAAAATGTTATTCTAAAACATTTATATATAAGACTTTTGTTGATAAGCGCTTTGGAAGTCAGCCACACTTCTTGTACGACTTCAAAGATATTTGGTTAGACCAGTAACCCAAAATTATAAAATCCTGGAAAATACTCACAAATAATTATTACACAATTTATTACCATTAAAATTAAAACCACCAGGATGGTACTCGTAATAAGTGGTATATAAGTGTATATTTTAATCGATTGTTTTTTTTCAGATTCCACGCAACAGTAAAACATAAAACACATCACATAGTCCCGAAGAAACATCATCATCATCATCACAAAAAAATGTAGATAACTTTGTATCAGAATGATAATTGCGCTGTGATAATATTAATTTAGTGATAAGTTTATTATAAGCCTGATTTATATTTTTGTACTGAATAAAATAATGAGGTTAAAGAAAATACCTATTTTTTTTATTTTAAACCAACGCAAATGACAATTCAGTGACTTTACATAATTTTCCATTCAACAATTCTCTGTACAAACTATACTATAGGTACTATTTGTAATTTTTAAAATGTTTTCTTAAATATTTTCTAGCAATGTCTCTTTTGCACCTTGCCATTTCACCCAATGAGCTTCCCCATTTTTAATTGCCACATTTACAGAGGATTTAATAGAAATAATTTCTTTATTATATTACTGACTTATCTATTTATTTTTCACCAATGATAATAATATTACAATACAATACATAAAATAATAAGTTAAAATACAAAACAACAACGATAACAGTATTCAATAACAACGATTGGGTTTGCTCAGTTAGTGATGGGAGTAGTGTTCAGGAACGATATGCTTGGCGTGACCAATGAACTTCACGTTGGCGTTGAATCTGCAAAAGATTTATGGTATTTAGTGGCTGCCCTAATCCATTAATCCTAATTAGTGCTGAATTCTCTCTGGTTTCGGAAACGAAGTAAGTTATTAGAAATCAAAGAATATTGTAAACTAAATACTAATTTAAATCCAATTTCGTACGATACCGGTGTTTCAAAATAAATAAACAAATGCAAAAAATAATTGTTCTGAATATTCCTTAAATTTTTTAGCTTTACCACTTTTTTGTGTATCTGTGGTATATTCTGTGGTCATAGTATAGTTTATGGGAAGAGATTATGATCAATGTGCGCAGCGAAAAAAAAAACGTAATAAACGAGTGTATCGATATCTTTCTCTCTTTTTACTTATATTCCGTTTGCATAGAACATACTTAACACAACAATAAGAACAAACTTATTTACTCACCCAGTCTTTTTGTCAGCATGGTACTCAACCACTCTGATGGTTCCATCGTGCTCATGCAGACTGTACACACCCTTCACGACATCACCATCACGAGACTCGTGCTGGGACTTGTGGTCACCGGTGTGAGGGTCCTTAACTTCATACGCGAACTCGTATTTGGGATGAGCCTGTAAAACATAATATGCTATGTAGACATCATCATCATCATCATAATCATCATCAATGATGATCTGATTATTCATAACATAACATCACGCCTTTTATACCCGAAGGGGTAGGCAGAGGTGCACACAGAAGTAATACCCACTTTTCACTATTTATGTCCCATGTAACAGGGGGTGAGCCTATTGCCATATACCGGGCACATTTCCAGACTCCGTGCTACTACTGAGAATTTTTTAAAAACTCAGTAATACTTTGCCCGACCCGGGAATCGAACCCGAGACCCCTTACCCGGCAGTCGCACTTGCGACCACTCGGCCAACGAGGCAGTCTGATTATTCATTGGATTCTAAAGTGTAAAAATATTTAAAAAATAGAGTAAAATACTAATAACAATAATAATTTAATAGGTAATACGAATTTCGTCCTACCATCTCACATGAAACAAAACTTACATAGTACTCGACGTGTTTCTCAGTAGCCTTCCCGTGGTACTGCTTGATGCTCTGTGAGGAGGAGGCGTGGTGGTGGTGTTCGTGGTGACCGTCCTGTGGACGCGCCGCGACTACTGCTACCACTGCAGCTGCTATAAGGATCTGATGAAAACAATATTCTAGTATTACATGTTAGATTTGATACATTATTTAAATGAGCATGTTCAATAAGAGAATTGGTATATTAACGCATTCATTAAACTTTTATGTATAAAATAAAATTAAAGAAGCCATTTTAAAATTGATAAATTTAATAAATTATTTTTTGATTTCAGAATTCGATTATTGTTTGTAAATACCTTAGCGAACATTTCGATGTTTTAATTATTTTTTATTTGCTTGCTAAGCTGGTATCTGACTGATAATTTTCATAAGAAATCACCGAATTTATATAGTCCTAAAAAGCAAGTTTGAGATAAAGTAACAAACTGAATTGTATATTTTTCATTATGGAGCCAGTTTATCACCAAACTTGTTGTATTTGCAATAAGTACTCCGGTTAAAGCCGCGATGACCTCGAGCAATATGTGACACGTACCTTTTGTTGCAAGTGTAAGTAAAATATACAACTTTTATTTTATTTATATAATAAAATAGAATAATGATAAATATACTTAGTACCAAATCTTCAGCATATTTATTATATACTAATATTATAATACGTACGTAATACGACACTCTGAAAATGGTTCCAATGATGGTGGAGTTAGGTTAGTCATTTTTTTTTTTTTAATAACACTCGTAATTAGATAACGGTCAAATTAAGAGATACTAGAAATAAAATCACGTTAAAAATATTAAATTTGCAGAAAATGAAACTATAACTATGTATAATACAATTAAAGAAAATTTACGAGATTAAAATCGTCCTGGATGTATAGAACAATAGAAAATAAGTAACAATGTACTAAAAGGGATTTTTATATATGTTTTTTTTGCTTACATCATTTATACTTTTTTAATTTGTTACATAACATTGTTGTATTAAATCTAGTGACATATAAAGAAAGTAACTTTTTAAATTGTAACGGTTTTGTCAAGGTTTTCGAGATTTTAAATCTCTTCATCAGTTAAAATGGAATAAAACCTGCTTTGTTTAATTATTTATCAACAACGAAGCGAATTGCGCACTTCATATAAAATGCCGAATTAATTTTCAGAATTTATCAGTTATCGATTCGCTTTCGAAGCAAAACAACATCAAAAAATCACAATGTTCACCAAAGTAAATATTACCTATAAATTCTCATAATTCCAACTTTCATTAAAAATCAATTAATTTTTTTTAAGATATTATTTCTATTTTTATATGAATGTCTTATTACTTTATTAGGTTCTCCTCATTGCTGTCGCAGTGGCTGCTGTAGCTGCTCAAGACCACCACCACGAACACCACCACCACGCTTCTTCCTCACAGAGCATCAAGCAGTACCATGGAAAAGCTACTGAAAAACACGTCGAGTACTATGTATGTATTTAAAGCAGTAATGATAGTCACTTTAAAATTACTAATAGCATACCTTACTGACTTACTTGTTTTATTCCAGTCTCATCCAAAATATGAGTTCGCGTACAAAGTGGAGGACCCTCACACCGGTGACAAGAAGTCCCAACACGAGTCTCGTGATGGTGACGTCGTGAAGGGCGTGTACAGTCTGCACGAGCCCGACGGTACTGTCAGGATCGTGGAGTACCACGCTGACAAGAAGACAGGGTTAGTAATAAAACATTTTGCTTTTTCAGAAGATATTGACTACTGCTGAAAACATATTGTGCAATATTAATTTTCATTTTCTTACAGATTCAACGCTAACGTCAAGCGAGAGGGTCACGCCAAACACATCGTTCCCGAACACCACCACCACCACTGATTCTAGACAAGAGATCTCATTGTTATTTAATGTAATCCGATTGTTATAAAGCTGTTAATATAACTTAATTAATAAATAGAAATTTGTAAGATACCTATTTGATTTATTTTGTCTATACCTCCATGTATGAAAGTACATAATTACATCGAAAGGATGATAAGTATGGGAATTCAGTTGATTTTTAAATAGAAGTGTTTATCACTTTAGCAGAAGGCCCATTTTACAATGTCTGGATAGTCGTTATGAACCAGATTTTGTTTGAAATAAAAATGCAATTTCTTTGAACTGTCTGTCTTATAAGTTTATCGGATACTTACGTGGGGTTGTGAAATAGGCGCATCTAGTGTGGAGTCATCATAGAGGTATAAAGAAACGGGGAAAACGCTTGACATTCAGCATGGCAACACAGTCGTTATTTTTCTCTTGGCCGACCTCTAAACTATTAGTCGTTTCGTTTTTAATTTATAAATATGAATGAAATAAAAATTCTGTTTCTTATGATTACGAATGAAAAGAAATGTTATTGTTTTCTTAATATTTTTAATTTAATTTATTTTAACTGAAAATTGAAATAAAATTATTTTAATAATAATTTTTGTTTTTGTTTATGGAATAAGCCGGTACACGACCAGACAGATCACCTGATGGCAAGCAATCGGCATCGCCCATGGACCGGAGCTGGAACACCGGCGGTGTTACAAGTGCGTTACTGGACATTTTCGGGATTACGAATTTGAGGATTGTCTAAAATTTTGTGAATCGATCATTGATCCGTTTATTTAACCTTTTGAATGCCACGGTTAACTATAAACGACAAATAAAATATGACGTGATCCGTCATAGTTGGCCGCAGTCGACAAGAAAACATTGTCTGCACTTTAAAAGAGGTACATTTTGTGTGTGTGTTAAACAATAAATGACAATAGGCGTGTCGACAGGATAAAAAAATCAAAAAAGTAATTAGTCCGTCATTAAGATCGCACGAAAATAACACGTATTTTTTGTTTTATCAAATTAACAGATGAATACGTAGTTATTCCGCATTAAAGTTAGGGAGTGGGGGGTGTTGACGTCACACTTACGGAGAAATCGTACCTAATTGTGACGTCACGCGTCATTTTAACTCAAAATATCAAAAGACGGACAAAAAATTAAAAAATAGTCGCCATGCCTATTAAGTCAATTTTATGATTTAAACTGACAAACACCAAGCGGTCACCGGTGACCGCAACCTATTGTTCTATAATTGTGTCTACATAGACGGTACTCGACGAGTTAATTATTTTATTCACATAGGTACTGCCGATAAGTGCAACCAAAATAACATATCCTGCCTCCATTATGCCCCATTGGTAGATAAGCAAAAAAACCGTATGAACTAGGTACAGTGATCATGAACTTTTCCTTGTGTCAATTAATTGACATGTGTTAGTAGCGAGTCCTGCAATAGCCTTTACACATCTAGGAATGACCGCAAATACCTTTAGGAAAACAAGGATTACTATCCAAGTAACACGTAACTTTAGATTTAAAATCTTATTATAGAAAAGATAAAATAAATAGATTCACTCCACTATTTCATAGGACTCATACAGATAAAATCTCAGGACTGTCATGATTGAATTGATAATACTCTTTCTTATGAAGTAAGTGCTTACAAATTCTTAATTGGATATTAAAAAAAAAACTTGATCCACGTTGGGATTTTCTATAAACATATAAGTTCACATTCACAACACACCTATACCCTATTATATTTTGGTATAACAGTAGGTATACATAAATTTTAACACTAAAATGTATGATTTAAATGTGTGCACTAGACAAAAACTGGTGACCACCGTTAAACTGGTACCTTCCTCGGTTATATAAAACATAGCAAAACATTCTTGAGCGTCATTTTGTCACGAGCTTGGAAAAAGAGAAGAAAGCAGAAGGATTTTTTTTTAATTTTTTCAGAATTTTAACATGGCCTACCAACTACTATCGATGATATCTCATAATATCGTTCATAAGTGTCTTATGACGTTGTAGAGTTTTGTTATAAAACTCATAAAGATAAACATTTAAAGTACATACGTGTATTTTGTATATACACGTACGTACGTACGTTTTCACGAATGGGCCCGGCTCGACCAGAGTGATACCACGTCCTCCGACGTGAAGCAACGCTTGCGTTGTATTTCGTCGTGTAAGTGAGGTTATCGGAGGCCCAATTACCCTCCCCTTCCCCAATCTCCCCAATTCCTGAATCCCCAACGATCCTCAAACTCCTAATCCCCAAAAGGCCGGTAAAGTGTAACGCCTCTGGTGTTCCAGATGTCAATCCGTCTGCTCGTTTACCGGCTTATACCATAATGCCATAAAAATACAATAAATATAAAATAAATACATAAAAAAGTATTATATCATTAAATTTTTTTATTAGTTAAAACGAGTATATCACAAAGTAACAAAGATAACAATTATAACATTTTTATGAACTGTTAGAGTTTGGTATTTTTAGAGTCAATGGTGGTGGTAGTGGTGTTCAGGAACAATGTGTTTGGCGTGACCCTCACGCTTGACGTTGGCGTTGAATCTGTGGATGTAGAAATGATAAATTAATTTTTATACAAAGTTATTGCAGAGATTAAAGATTCTTCCTAAAAAAACAGTAAAATGTTTACTCACCCAGTCTTCTTGTCAGCGTGGTACTCCACGATCCTGACAGTACCGTCGGGCTCGTGCAGACTGTACACTCCCTTCACGACATCTCCATCACGAGACTCATGTTGGGATTTCTTGTCACCGGTGTGAGGGTCTTCTACTTTGTACGTGAACTCGTACTTAGGGTGGGACTGGAACACAAGAAGACGCCATGGTCGGTAATGTACGCCATTGGTTATTCAAATCTATTGCATTATTAAGTACTTATAGAAACATACGTAATATTCGACGTGTTTCTCAGTGGCCTTCCCGTGGTACTGCTTGATGCTCTGTGAGGAGGAGGCGTGGTGGTGGTGTTCGTGGTGACCGTCTTGTGCAGCTACAGATGCCACCGCGACGGCAATTAGAAGTACCTAGTGGAATAATACAATGTATTTAATACATTAATGATATACTTTTTATTTATGACGATTATTATTTAATCGATGTTTACCTTAGTGAGCATTTTGTTTATTTTTTAATACGTTAATAAGTTCTAAGGATCGAAGGCAACTGATAAACTTACAAATCAGAATCAGTGTTTTATATTCGACAAAATATCAGGTTTTAAGTGACAAAGTACAATATTTCAGGTTTAATAATAAACAGCTGATTGCATAAACAGTACTCACTCATTACACTCAGACTGAGTAACCTTGAACTCATGAGACAAAAGTACATTTCACTACCCAGCCGAATTACCACATCACATAACATCACGCCTTTTATCCTCGAAGGGTTTTTTTTTTTTTTTAAGGGGGGAAAATCATCTAATGACTGCTCCCGCCTGGGTGAGGCGGAAGGGAGTGTCAGACTCTTACTGACTAAAAACCACCCCGTTCCTTCTCCTGCACGTCGAGCCGGAGCCCCGGTTACCCGTTAGGTTCTCCGCGACATCCTCGAAGGGGTAGGCAGAGGCGAACATAAAGGCACTTAATGCCACTGTAGAATGTAACGTTTCACTATTTACATAATAATATATGTTATGAGTCCTATGCAATAGGGGGTGAGCCTTTTACATAGCATATATATACCGAGCACAATTCTGGACTTCGTGCTACTACTGAGATATATTTAAAAGCTAGTAATACTTTGCCCAACCCTAATCGAACCTGGAACCCCATGCCCGGCAGTCACACTTACGACCACTCGGCCAACCAGGCAGTGCTACCTAATTATTACCAATTTAAAAAAAAAATTGAGACCAAGAAATATAGAGAAGTTCCAAATTTAAATATAACGTATCAGTTCATCACTGTTTCTATAGAACTTTATAATCAAATAAATGACGTGGCTAGTTAATATAGTAAGCCCATGATATACCATAAATAGTTCAACATGTATCGAGTAATACCACAAAAGTTCTTCCTTCATTAACAGCTTGTGAGAATTCATTTCCAGGCTTGCTTTTCACTTAAGCATGTTCGAATAATAGAATACATTCATAACCAGACCTAAAAACACAATACATTTTAACAATAATAAATTTGTACCTAATTGAAACAGGTTTTCAAAACTTGATCTCATTAAAAATTAACCAATTGCTGAACTTTATTACTTAAAACTTGATTTTGGCTTTCGAGTATATAAAACTCTAAATTAACTTTTGAAAATATCAGTCATCACTCAACTGTGGGATTAAGAGCTTCAAAATGGTTGCAAAGGTATTTTTAACATTCTAAATTTGCACTACCTCAAAATGTACTGAAGGCACTTGATAACATTACTTTCATTATAGTAATAATTAATAATTATTGTTATGCCAACCACGTGTTCACTGCTTAATTTACCTTCTTTGTGTGACGAGTGTCCTTACAGTAGTATAAGCTGATATACCTCTTTATTTATTAGCCGGTATTACTACCATTACACATTTTATTCTAAAACACAAGTATATCATCATAAACAGGTCATCCTTGTCATCGCTGTTGTCGTAGCCACCATTGCTGCGCAAGACCACCACCACGAGCACCACCACCACGCCTCTTCCTCACAGAGCATCAAGCAGCACCACGGAAAAGCTACTGAAAAGCACGTCGAGTACTATGTAAGTTGTTTCATATTGCTTCTAAGATCAGTATATTTGTAAAACTTCAAAAGTAGAATACGAATCTAGTTGATATTAAACTATTTTTAATTTGCAGTCTCATCCTAAATACGAGTTTGCGTATGAAGTTAAAGACCCTCACACCGGTGACAAAAAGTACCAGCACGAGGCGCGCGACGGTGACGTCGTGAAGGGCGTATACAGCCTGCATGAGCCCGATGGTACTGTCAGGATCGTGGAGTACCACGCTGACAAGAAGACTGGGTGAGTATAAAAAACTAACTTCTGTTACTAATGTAAGTAAAATATGTCTATTATTTGCTAACTCTTCATTTCTGTATTTAACAGATTCAACGCCAACGTCAAACATGAGGGTCACGCCAAACACATTGTTCCCGAACACCACCACCACCACTGAATTTAGTACAATAATAATTGTTATTTAATTTGTCTAAATGCTACCGATGTTGTTATATAGTTGTTAATATTAAAAAATATAATTGTATAAATCAATTATTTATTGTTTTCACTTCAACATAATGTAACATCACGGCTTTTATCCCCGAAGAGGTAGGCAGTGGTGCACATTACAGCACTTAATGCCACTGTATAATGGAACGTGTATGAGTCCCATGTAATAGGGGGTAAGTCTATAGCTATATACCGGGCACAATTTCAGACTCCGTGCTACCACAACCACAGATTTTTATTAAAACCCAGCACTACTTTGCCTGACCAGGATTCGAACCCGAGACCCCTTGCTTGGCAGTCACACTTGCGACCACTCGGCCAACGAGGCAGTGATTGTTTTTACTGCTACATACATATAAGTAGGTATATACTGATTTTCAATGACACAAATCTGGCATCATAAGTTAAGTGACGAGTCGGGAAATTAAAGTAGATAATATTGAATTTGGTCCATCTATACTAATATTATAAAGAGGAAAGATTTGTACCTATTTTTGTATGTTTGTAAAATCTAAAATATGTAGCAGCCCGTCCATTGCTTGGCACGGGGTAGACAATTATTTATTTTTGGAAATTTCGATTGTTGTAGTGACATAACTACAATTGTTGGACATATGCTACCGCGGAGTTTTTTGTAGACATAATGATGTTCTTCAATATTGTTGTACATTATTTTGTTCTATCGCTAATAGTTTCGGCAGCGCATTCGACGAAAGACATTTTAAGACTCATTTTTCTACACCTTCGGTTACATTGTTCAAATTTTATCAAGGATTCCTAATTTTTTTCAAAATGAAATGTAGCCTATGTCAAATTGATAGAATGTAGCATTCTATTGGTGAGACATTTTTTTTAAATCGGCCCAGTACTTTTTGAGCCTATTCATTACAAACATACAAAAATAGTAACAAATCTTTCCTCTTCATAATATTAGTATAGAAGTATAGATTAATCATTCTTCTTACTAATATTAAAAGTGAATGTTTGTGAGTTTTTGTGTTTGTGCGTATATTTGTTCCGCAATAACGTCGAAACGGCTGATAGGATCGAGTCGGTGGTCAAAAGTCGACCTATCAAGTATAAAAAAAAATGAAATTAGAAAGAGGATAGATTATAGTAGAATAGGCTGATTTTTATACCAAGGGAACGCGGGCGAAATATTTTTGAAAATTATGTTACATTTTGTATCGTATCGTCAGCCAAGTAATCTACTGGGGAGTAAAAAGTATTTAAATTTAAAATAACAGTTAGTTAAACATTTTAGATTTGAAACACATATTTTTAGTTTTGCGATCCGTCTTATTTTATATCAGTCAAATTATTATTAACTAGCAACAGCTTGTTACCTAGCTACCCACGACTTCGTCCGCGTAAAAATAACTTCTGGTAGAAATTGGGTTTTTGAGTAAGTCTTTGCCAAGATATATTCTATGGTTGTACGGCTCTAACAAATGTAATCAGAAACGATTCAATACTCAGGTTATAAGGTACATGAGGGTATTAAGGCCTAGCTAAGGGAAATCTGTTGTAAAATAAATACTGATAATAGAATCAACAAGTTTTATTAGGTAATCAGTCGTTTATTTATCCAACTACAAAATTAAAACAAAAAATAGCAAATTCTGCATGAAACTTAAACACAATTGAACGTTTTTTAAAACACTGTTATTAGGCCTTATTATAATTAGGTAGGGTAACAAGGCCTGCTTCTTAAACTATGCAATTAATCAACTAAAACAACATAATTTGGTACTTGAGACCAATCATCATCCAGTTAATGGCAGAATAAGACTTTACCATCTTAAGAATTAAATGGGTAGTCTCATCTAACAACCACCAGGGCATTTTTTTAAAGGGGGGAAAATCATCGAATGGCCTTCCTGCCTGAGTGAGGCGGGACACTCCCGTCAGACTCTTACTGACTAAAAACCACTCCGTTCCTTCTCCTGCACTTCGAGCCGGAGCCCCGATAACCCGTTAAGCTCTCCTCGGCTCCGTATCGGCATCAGTCCTATTAGGCCCCATCCGTGGTGGTCGGATGGCTCTTTGAGACGCGGAACGCGAAGCGCTGTACGCTCAGGTCTGGTTCTGGTCGGGCGGCGAACTACCCATGCTGACCGTCCGCAGGCCCGTGCTTACGATGACCGGAGATCGTCCTGCGATCCCCGACGCTCGGAGTGTCCTTCGCGGCGGCTGGGCTGTGAGGAGGCAGCGGTTTGCTCCATCACGCGCCCCGCCTCCTTCTTAGCTAGCTAGACTACTTCGCAAAAGGAGTAGACCGCACGACCCCGGCATATGCCGGAGGTTGGCAGGAAATGTTTGACCCCCCGAGGTTGGGTCGGAGGCGCTTAAGCACCGCCCTCGTCCTTTTCATTTTAGGAAACCAAACGTCGGAAATACATCGACCAGGGCATACGAAGTCTTCATACCATCATAGTCCGCATACCTGATTATCCTCTTCACAAGATCAGCTTCTTGTTCTGGATTCATTATATGCTTACGACCTTATTCTTTACCAAAATACCACTTTGAAGATAGTTTCTTATTGTTCTCCTAGGAATTTTGTATCGTTCTGCAGCCGCATACGTAGGTACTCATGATTCCTTTCTGTACTGCGCAAACAGCTTAGACCAAATGATCTTCTGACCACAATGCTCGTTTTAGGAGGAATCTTGAACATAGGAACTGTAAACAATGTGTGATGTACTGAAATAATTTGAAAATAGTGCAAACATTAAGAAATATATATCTATAAGTATAATAAGGCCTACTACAAAATTTTACAGGCCTTATTACACATAGGTAAGGTATTTATGGAAAACGAAATAAATACAATTTGGGCTGTAGAACGTTAATGAATAAAGCAATGTAGGACGAGTATAAGTTAACGATAATATAGACAGTAAGTGCAAGGAGATAAGTGTAATAATTTAAGAAATACTTACGTTTTACCGGAGCCAATATTTGTAAAAACGTGACATACGGCTACTCTTGATTACTTTTAACACACCATTACCAAAAGCGAGTGAGATAGCCAACACATGCCGCCTGGTGGCGCCTTGTACGTGTAATATACATGTCTGTGCTTGAGCTTGAGCGCGAAATCGTATTCTAAGTAAGATTTTTAATGTTTAGGCCTTATTAGCCGACAGGCCTTAATACCCGCATGTACCTTATTTATTGCGTAATTAATTTATTTTCGTGGTTGCAAAAAATAAACAATCTCACTGACAGGTTTTACTTGTACAGTACTCCTTAGGTTTCAGTGTAAAAACTATTCTATGTTTGCAAATGAATGTTGTATCGCATTTCAATCAAATAGATATAAGGAGTGTTTTTGGTATCTGGCAAACTTTCATAGTAAAATTGGTCTTGACGGACTAAAATTAGTTTTGATATATGATACGCGGGCGAAGTCGCGGGCACAGTGTAATTCATAAAGAGACACATATAAAGTACGTACGTATATTACATATATAATAAAAATACATAAACAAGTATTATGTCATTAAATATTTTTATTTATCACAACGAGTATATCACAAAGTAACAAAGATAACAATTAAAACATAGTTATTGACAGAAAGAGTTTTGTTTTTAGAATCAGTGCTGGTGGTAGTGGTGTTCGGGAACAATATGTTTGGCGTGACCCTCACGCTTGACGTTGGCGTTGAAACTGTAAATAAAGAAAAGATTAATTAAGTTATTAAAGTTATTGCCGAGTTTTAGGAATAACAATGAAAATGTTTACTCACCCAGTCTTCTTGTCAGCATGGTACTCCACGATCCTGACAGTACCGTCGGGCTCGTGCAGACTGTACACGCCCTTCACGACATCTCCATCACGAGACTCATGTTGGGATTTCTTGTCACCGGTGTGAGGGTCTTCTACTTTGTACGCGAACTCGTACTTAGGGTGGGACTGGAACACAAGAAGACGTCATAGTCAGTAATGTTCGCCATTGGTTATTCAAATCTATTGCATTATAACTTATACCAACATACGTAATATTCGACGTGTTTCTCTGTGGCCTTCCCATGGTACTGCTTGATGCTCTGTGAGGAGGAGGCGTGGTGGTGGTGTTCGTGGTGACCGTCCTGTGCAGCTACAGCTGCCACCACGACGGCAATTAGAAGTACCTAATCGAATTATACAAAATAATAATAGTATTGTATATGCCATAATTTTACAAAGAAAATAAAAGAAGAACTATTTAAAAAATAAATAATAAAACGATGGTTTAATACATTAATAAATTATACTTTTTATTACTTTTTATTTTATTGTATTTATGACGATTATTATTTAATCGATTTTTACCTTAGTGAGCATTTTGTTTATTTTTTTAATACGTTAATAAGTTCTAAGGATAGAAGGTAACTGATAAATTTACAAATCAGAATCAGTGTTTTATATTCGACAAAATATCAGGTTTTAAGTGACAAAGTACAATATTTCAGGTTTAATAATAAACAGCTGATTGCATAAACAGTACTCACTCATTACACTCAGACTGAGTAACCTTGAACTCATGAGACAAAAGTACATTTCACTACCCAGCCTAATTACCACATCACATAACATCACGCCTTTTATCCTCGAAGGGGTAGGCAGAGGCGAACATAAAGGCACTTAATGCCACTGTAGAATGTAACGTTTCACTATTTACATTTATATGTTATGAGTCCCAAATAATAGGGGGTGAGCCTATTGCCATGTACCGGGCACATTTCTAGACTCTGTGCTACTATTAAGATTTTTTTTAAAACCCATTAATACTTTGTCCGACCCCGGAATCGAACCCGAAACCCCTTGCCTAGCAGTCACACTTACAACCACTCGACCAACGAGGCAGAGCTATCTGTTTGCCGGTACCATAAAAAAAAATTGAGTCCAAGAAATATAGTCCAAGAAATAAGAATAAGAAGTAATAAGCTTAATAATAAGCTTGAATTCGTAGTGCAATAACACCGGGACATATAATTATCAGTTCAGCACTATTTCTATAGAATTTTACAATAGATGATGTAGCTAGTTTTAAGTTAAACTCAATACTTGAATACTGAAAAGTTTATTCTAAGTATGTTTATTCTAAGGATTAAGTATGTATTGTAAATTCCATCACTAACAGCTTGTGACAGTTAGCTTCCAGGCCACGAACCTTCTCTATATAAGAAGAAGAAGAAGTCGTTAGGCATGTACGAATAACAGAATACATTCAAAACCAGACCTCAAAACACAATACATTTCAACAATAATGGATTGTACCCAATTAATACAGGTTCTCAAAACGTGCTCTTATAAGAAAATTAAACCATTGCTGAACTTTATTACTCAAAACTTGATTTTGGCTTTCGAGTATATAAAACTCTGAATTAACTTTTGAAAATATCAGTCATCACTCAACTGTGTGATTAAGAGCTTCAAAATGGTTGCAAAGGTATTTCTAACATTATAGATTTGCACTACCCCAAAATATACTGATGGCACTTGATAACATTAATAGGTTCAGAAACGAATACTTTCGATGATATATTGATTTGAAATGTCGCGTGACGTCACTTTTATGTACATTTTATACGTAGAAATGACGTTTTAGGCCCCACTCCTAAACTTTGATTCGTTTCATCTAAGTATTGTGTTATTATACGACAAAATAAAAAAATACGTGTCGAATATTTTCTTATTATCTAACTTACGGACTAATTAGATTTTTAATTTTCATACCCTGTCATCATCCCAATTATAGTAATAGTCCTTAAAAAATATTACTGTTATGTCAACCACGTGTTCGCTGCTTATTATTTATTTGTCTTCTTTGTGTAACAAGTTTCCTAACAGTAGTGTACGCTGATATGCTTTATTTATTAGCTGGTATTATTACCATTTTAAATTATACTCTAAAATACAAATATATCATCATAAACAGGTCATCCTTGTCATCGCCGTCGTCGTGGCCACCATTGCTGCGCAAGACCACCACCACGAACACCACCACCACGCCTCCTCCTCACAGAGCATCAAGCAGCACCACGGAAAAGCTACTGAAAAGCACGTCGAGTACTATGTAAGTTGTTTCATATTGCTTCTAAGATAAGTAATATTTGTAATACTTCAAAAGTAGAATACGAATCTAGTTGATATTAAACTACATATTGTTAAATTTTGCAGTCTCATCCTAAATACGAGTTTGCGTATGAAGTTAAAGACCCTCACACCGGTGACAAAAAGTACCAGCACGAGGCGCGCGACGGTGACGTCGTGAAGGGCGTATACAGCCTGCATGAGCCCGATGGTACTGTCAGGATCGTGGAGTACCACGCTGACAAGAAGACTGGGTGAGTATAAAAAACTAACTTCTGTTACTAATGTAAGTAAAATATGTCTATTATTTGCTAACTCTTCATTTCTGTATTTAACAGATTCAACGCCAACGTCAAACATGAGGGTCACGCCAAACACATTGTTCCCGAACACCACCACCACCACTGAATTTAGTACAATAATAATTGTTATTTAATTTGTCTAAATGCTACCGATGTTGTTAAATAGTTGTAAATATTAAGAATTATAATTGTATAAATCAAATATTTATTGTTTTCACTTCTACATAACACAACATTACGCCTTTTCTCCCCAAAGGGGTAGGCAGAGGTGCAACACTTTACCCGATCCGGGAATCGAACCCGAAACCCCTTGCTTGGCAGTCGAACTAGCGACCTCTCGGCCAACGAGGCAGCCTTATTTATATCAGTCTATTTACAAGTTGTGATTTATATCATACTCAAATTAATTTAATACATTGTCTATTATGATTATAATATAATGATGTTCATGTGTGCTTAACACATGAACATCATTATATTCGGGAATTGTTAAGTGTAGGCAACTCCTGTAAGCCAGGATCTACAGTAGATACAACCATGAAAACTCCGGAACACTGAAGTCCAGCGCGTCCCAGGGACATGAGTAAACTGTCTTGGTTCCCGCATCGAATTGAATCAGAAGATATTAGAAGAGGGAGAAAAAAAACGATATTTTCCACTTCCCTCGGTGAATTACTGCAGGAGACAGAATGAATTAAGCCTAAAGGCACAAAAAAGAGACCGTACAACTGGGTGAAGCCCAGTCGCCAAGCACCACGGAAATTTGACTAAGAACTAAGTGGGTCCTATGTGTGAGCTGTTATACTTGTTTCCAATAATAGGAATGGCAAAAGCGCCTAAACGCACGGAAATTTGTTCTAGATTCTACAAGGTCCGCATAATAAGCTACACCTGACGAAACAATTAAATTATTTAACATAGTGTAACGGTCATATTGCCAGAGATCACATTCCCAGAGTATGTGAAAGGCGAACTGCTCGTATTGCAACTCCACTGTCGAACATTGGCACCATGGTGAATCAATAAGTTGAAATGTGAATAATTTACATTTAAAGTTGCCTTGGCCAGCAAGAAATTGGGCAACACGGCGATCTACCTCTAACCATGTCCTCTCCAGCCGCTCATGGGAAGAACTGACATAGGTGGTGGCTCTTAATAGAAGATTCCCATCTACACTGCCATTTAGTTATAAGCTCATCCCAAACGTACGTTAATGGCTTAAACAATCTAGCAATTTTCTTTCTATCACGTTGTGCTAGAAAGCTTGCTGACACATTAGGTCTCGCATTGTAGTGCATAGCAGCACGTCGCTGCACCTCAAGATCGACCGGAAGTATGCCTGCGAGCACAGGTAGGGCCTCAGTGCTAACCGTCTTATAAGCCATACATAGGAAAATCAAGGCCAGACGCTGGCTTTTTAGAAGTTTTCGCAGTACCGCGCCTACTGTGGTCCTATCAGCCCAGACAGGTGCTCCGTACCACACGCATCCCAGGTAGGTTGCTCCGTATATGATCTTGAGCGTAAGAAAAATGAGACCCCAGGTTGCTTTTAAAATTCGCGTCAGCGCATAGAAGTTACATTTTTGGCGTTCTCACTAATAGCCTTAATATGTTCAATGAAGGAAAAGTTTCTTCCAAAACTAAACCGAGATAGCAAACAAACTCCTTTCGTTTTACGGAAACGTTGATAAATTTAATAGACGGCCACGACTTTAGATTTCCTTTAAACAATAGCTGGTAAGTTTTTTGGGGTGCAAAAGTCAAGCGATTTCGTTCGCCCCATCGCAAGATCCTACTGAGAGTCTTTGGCTAAATTCTCCAGTCCGGCGCGGGTTTATGACTGTACTAGCAAAAGGCCATCATCCGCATATCCAGTCAAAGTACAGCCACAAGGAAGGGGAATCGCGAGCAAATCATCAAACCCTAAATTCCATAGATACGGGCCAATAAGCGAGCCGTGAGGACATCCCATCCCATCTCACTTCGACCGAGAACAATGACCAAGCTTCAGTTTAATGGAACCGTGAAGGAAATACGTGTATATTAATTTATATAAGTTGCTACAACAGCCACGACCTTTCAGTTTTAAGAGTAACATTGGTCACCATCCATTATGAAAGGCACCGGAAATGTCCAGAAAAAAGAGAGGAGAGGCAACTCTTATGTTAAAACCTCCTTTGTAGCACGATAAGAAAAATGGTGGTTACGTAGTGAATTCGCGTTCGCGCTTAAATTCATCAATGGAAACATCCAGCCCTAATCATTTCATTAAGGGTTTTTTTGTATTTACAAATTATAACCATTGCAGATTGAACTAATATAAAAACAGTAGGTATAGTTAAACATAGTCAGATCATATTGTTATTACGTACACAATTAAATTGAATCGATTTAAAAAGTTATGACCATTTAAATCGTCCATATTTTTGACATTCGTTTCAAATATCGTAAAACTCAAAAATAATAATAATAGACACTACAGTGTCTATTGTGAGATTTTTACCCATTTCTTAACGTTAAAGTTAACTACAGGATGTTTAATGTGCATGGGACCATGTGCAAAAGAGGTATCATGATCGTAGACAAGCAATTCTCGTTCCTTGGAAAATTTGCATTGAAACGTTAGTCGAAGTAGAACAAATTAACACCGATATTGACAGCCATACATTGGCTTTTCTATTTACTCATTCGATTAGCTTTTTAATAACTAAATAAATATAATAAGATAAAATCCAAATAAAAAGTTGTTGTTTTCTTACTCAATTTTAATTAATTATAACAAAATAAGTATCACAATTTAACATTAATAATAACAATAAAGTCCAGTTTACAAATAAGGGTTTGGGTTTCAAGATTCACTGGTGGTGGTGGTGTTCAGGAACAATGTGTTTGGCGTGACCCTCACGCTTCACGTTGGCGTTGAATCTGTTAATACGGAATAGATGATCAGAAAGTGATGTTTCATAATATTACAATTGATTTTCTAAACACATTCACGTGCTATCATATATGTAGATATAGATATTGATATAGATGAATGGCAGATGAGGCTGGCCATTATTATATGATGTCATGAATTTACATTAAAAATTCAAAATACTATGTAGTTGGTTATAATAATACACACCCAGTCTTCTTGTCAGCGTGGTACTCCACGATCCTGACAGTACCGTCGGGCTCGTGCAGACTGTACACGCCCTTCACGACGTCACCGTCGCGCGCCTCGTGCTGGTACTTCTTGTCACCGGTGTGAGGGTCCTCCACTTTGTACGCGAACTCATATTTAGGGTGAGACTGTAACATAAAACACATTGTTATAGAATACTGCAGGACATACTTTGTGTAAATGGAAGGTTAGACAATGATTTAGTGTTTTATCTTACACAGTAGATGACCTGAAATGTGTTACGCTACATTTTGTCAATTTAATTGTTAACACGATAGATTTTTGGAATCTTACATAGTATTCGACGTGTTTCTCAGTTGCTTTCCCGTGGTACTGCTTAATGCTCTGTGAGGAAGAGGCGTGGTGGTGGTGCTCGTGGTGGTGACCGTCTTGTGCAACCACTGCTATCACTGCGACGGCAATGAGAAGGACCTGTTCAAAAATAAGAGACTTAATTACAACAAACTAATATGATTATCAAGTGAGATAACCATATAAATTTTTTTCTCCTGGTATTATTACAATCTATCATTCCAGATATTCAGCAATTGTTAGATATTTAGGTCACGTCTTGCATTTTAATTTTTTTTTTATTTAAATATTTATAATATAGGTATATCGTACCTTTGTGAACATTTTATTAGTATTTCTGATACGTTGATATGTTTCGAAAACTGAATGATAACTGATAATTCAACAAATCGGAGTCAGTTTTTTATATTCAACAACATATCCAGTTTTGGGCTGTACATAAAGCAAATAATGAGGTATTTCAACAATTACAGGTCTGTTTTAAACTCTCAACAGTTGTGTAAAAGTAATTTAAGCAAAATTGAGAGTGGCCTTGAAGTCCTGTTACTGAAATGAAGTATCTATACCTATATTTTGACACCATTATTTTAGGTCTAATCAATAATATCAGCGAAAGTCTATTACGAGTAATTACATCCCCTGAAACATTTTTCCACTAAATTGACCGGCAGATATATACATATGTGGTATAATAATCACTATAGACATTGATACTGGCTTAGGGGAAATGTCTTATAGTACTCGTCCAAATTTCTTTGTTGTTAATTTTAAAGTAAGCTACTGTTACCTACAGTACTGGTATAAGATAACAAAAGACTTTGTACGTAGCCTAAACAGGTTTAAAAAAATCTGCTTTTAATAAAACATGTAGGTATGCATTTCAGAACTTTATTAAGTACTTCAAACCTGATTTTTCGTATTGGTATATAAAACTTCGAAATACTTTTGGGAAATATCAGTTATCACTCAACTGTGAAAGTAAAATAAAGCAAAATCAAAATGTTTACGAAGGTATTTAATACAAAATAAAACTACATTCATCATTATTTTGATACAAATATAAAGAATAATATGTGCTACAGTATCGTTATGAGTCTAGTATTTGTCAGCCTGTAGTTAATTTACAATCAATGTCTATTTTACTAATATTTTACTGTATAAATGACGAAATTATAAATTGAAGTGCCGGTAACCTTTTTTACCCAGGGTATTGTACACAAGACCCTGAATTTAACAGTCTCGAATTTTTAACATTTCTTTTTTCAAATCCAAATATAGATAATCCTCGTTGCCATCGTTGTAACTGTTGCTGCACAGGAGCATCATGAGCACCACCACCACGCCTCCTCCTCACAGAACATCAAGCAATACCACGGGAAAGCCACTGAGAAACACGTCGAGTACTATGTATGTATTATATTACAGCAATAATAATGGATTTCTACGTTACGTATTAATAGCATACGTTATTGATTGACTTGTTGTATTGCAGTCCCACCCTAAGTACGAGTTCGCGTACAAAGTGGAGGACCCTCACACCGGTGACAAGAAGTACCAACACGAGGCGCGCGACGGTGACGTCGTGAAGGGCGTGTACAGTCTTCACGAGCCCGACGGTACTGTCAGGATCGTGGAGTACCATGCTGACAAGAAGACTGGGTGAGTAGAAGTTTCTTTAGAAATCCTAGAACTTTAATCAACGTACATTACTTATCTATATAGTAACTAATTTATCATTCCTGCATCCACAGATTCAACGCTAACGTCAAGCGTGAGGGTCATGCCAAACACATTGTTCCTGAACACCACCACTGATTCCAAATGTTATTTTACCGTTATCATCATGCACCTAATTGTAATTTTACTATTAATATGCTCAAATTGTTATGTTTGTTGTAAATAGCTATGGTTTTGTAAATAAAGATTATTAGTCACAAAATATTTTGTACGATCTTTTCCATTGCTTATTGCACACTTGATATCGAAAGCTCATAATATCAAATTGATTATGGAAGAAGTGAACTATGGAGAGAATAGCCTCTGGCTACGCTTGGAGGATCTGAAATTTGAAAGATCGAATCCGTAACTAGGTGATCCGACAATCAACTAAAGATATCAACGTGGCCAAAACGGTTAGCAGGCTGAAATGGTAATGGACCGGTCACGTTTGTCGACAAATCGATGACCGTTGAGGTAGCCGTATTCTAGAGTGGAGACCGTGTCTGGGAAAATGTAGTTTTGTAGTTTCAGCTAGTTTTTTTATGGTTTAAGTCGGTAAACGAGCAGACGTATCACGTGATGGTAAGCAATCGGCGCCCATGGATAACTAGACCGTCAGAGGCGTTGCAAATGCGTTACTGGCCTTTTGGGATTAGGAATTGGAGGATTGTTAGGGATTCAGGAACTGGAAAAGGGGGGGGGGGAATTTGGCGTCCGGTAACCTCACTCACACGACGAAACACAACGCAAGCGTTGTTTCATGTAGGTTTCCTGTGAGGCCGTGGTATCACTCCAGTCGAGCCGGCCCGTTCGTCCCGAAACATGGCACTCCCACACTTACGATAGTAAGGGATAGGAATGCCAATATTCAAAGATCAAGCTCAGTAGTGTGCCAATAGAGAGGCTTATGTCCAGCAGTCGATGAAAACAGGCTATTGATGCCGATGATGAATAAGAGCCAGTGGTCTTCCTCTAACAACAAAAGTTGCCTTAACACAGGTGAATGTTGCAAATTAGTGGCTCTTGGTGGCTTCAAATTATGTCATTGTAGTTTAGACTTAAGTTGATATCTGAAAACTTGCAATTTTCGATATTTCGACAACTTAGGTATATTAATAAAACCACCACTCGTATGTAGTCTATATCTTCTATGTCCGATGAAGATGGCAGGAAGTGAGCCTATTGGAATAGCCAGGGCATCCGATATTCGGCAGTCATCCACATCTCTTATCTAATTAAACCAGTATTAATACTAACCCAGTGGTATGCGTGTGAGCACAGATAAACAAAACAAAACCGAAGCTAAACGAATCTTTGAATATGACGAACGTTTAATTGCACACGCAAATTAACTTTATGAAATCGCAATAAAAGTGTTGTAAACTACAATAACTGCCGAGTGTAGTGAAAGAAACCTATAGATAATTTCCTAATCATTTCTTTAGTTTTTACTATAAAAGCACCGATTGTTCTAGACATTAGTATCAGTTTGCTAATAAACTTAGCTTGACATACAAGTATATTCAAAATGTTCTTAAAGGTATTTTCTTTTTTTTTTCTGCGTCCATATAAAAAAAAACATATTTTTTCCGATGTTTTACTCATTCAATTTTTCTTTCATTACAGGCTCTGTGTGTATTAGCAGTATATGCTGTAGTAGCAGCATTCGCTCATGAAGCCCATTCATCCCAATTTCTTCATAAACATGATCATCATCATCAGAAAGTGGAATTTAAAGACAAACATGGGCATCATCACTACGACTATTACGTAAGTATAAATCGTTTTATTTCTAATGTCTGAATCTCGGATTGTTTGAAAAACTATAAAAAAAAATATTTCAATGATACTACGAAGTATAATAGTAAAGGTATGTAACAGACTTGCCTGTTGCACTGATAACTAAACTAATATTTTAGTTTAGTGCTCCTATTACTTCTAGAATCATCGATGTCTGTCCCTTTAATGAAACTAATCGATACTTAAATTAGCTTCTCAAAGAACCATTGTTCTTTTAACCAAACGAAACGTCATACATCCGGTTTTCTTTTACAGACACATCCTAAATACGAATTCGGGTACAAAGTAAAGGACCCTCATACCCACGACCACAAGTCCCAGCACGAGCATCGTCACCACGACAGTGTAAAGGGACACTACTCCCTGAAGGAACCTGACCACCATCACGAGAGAGAAGTCCACTACCATGCTGACAAACATTCCGGGTATGTATCTTTGTAATTATTATTAGCTCTATTCCAATTAAATTAGGTTTGAATTGCATTGCAACCTCGTAAATATGCAATTTTGTAAAACTTACACGGTGTAGTACAACACTTTTCTATAACACAGGGGAGTTATCATCGTGTCAAAGCTAATCGTAAATGCCAAGCCTACATTCCAAATATAGAATTTTGCGACCATCCATACGTTTTGACCTAAGTCTGAAGATAATGGAAATGACTGACTATGTCCGTTAAACGATCCCTAAACCATCAATTAAATTGTCACAACTAATTTAACTGTACTTTTTATCTTAGATCATTAAATACTTTTAATGAATTCTTATCTATATTTTCATATTGTTTTCTCTCCTCCACAGTTTTCATGCGGATGTGAAGCACAGCATTCACCACATCGTTCCTCATCATCATCATCACTAAACAATAACTATTATTGATTACTTTTGTTCAATGTTTTGTTGATTTGTTTTATGTGACTTTTTTGTAAATAAAGATTTAAAAAAAAACTCATAGTGTTGTCTCTTGCATATTCAGTTTGATAAGTAGGTCACCTATCCGCAGATCGAGACTTGAGCCAGTCATAAATTTATTGATTATCTAATCACATTAACCAAAAATTACTCGAAATACCCGCGACAGCACACGCTGCTCATCGAAACTAGTTGAGCTTTTCTCAGTATATTTAAGTGAGTAACAGTAATTTTTAGTTAATTCAGTATATATCACGATAATTATTATAAAATGATTAATCAGATTATTATTAATCTTAAGACATCCAGTACCTAAACAAATCCAATTCGGTAGAAATGACCACAATTAAATACAGGACATTTAATTTAACGCATCACTTAACTCGTAAGAGCATAACGTAACTTGCTTAAAATTCAGTTCGCAAACAGTACCTAATTGGTTAATAATATAGACTACCTCATACCTTCATGGTACACTGCAACGGACTCATAACAACGCCAACGTATCATAACGTGCATCTTTTGCGACATTATTATCGAATTATGCATATCGAATCTAGCGCAATCGTTTTAATGCCGAAGAATTTTAAGTGAAATCGCCACCTTGGTACTTTTATATTTTAGTATAAAAGCCAAGTTGTTTTTGTAACATGTATCAGTTTACTCAAACACCCTTTGTCTTACGTACAGGCAAACACATCGCTTTAATAAACAATGTTGTTCAAGGTACATTCTATATTTTCTAGTAATTTTATATTAACACTATGTTTCTAATTTCTATTTGCTACTAAAATACAATAAAAATTAATCCAAAGATATTAATAATTTTTATTATGTATTTTTCTACTTCTTAGGTACTACTTCTGGCTGTAGTGTGTGTGTTAGCTGTGACAGCTGAGCATGGATATTCATCACAACATGTCCACAAACACGATGGACACCATGAGACCGTAGAAGTCAAAGGCGAACATGGACATCATCACTTCGACTATTATGTTAGTTACAACTTCATTATCTATCTATTTATGAAAGTAGACTAATCTTTAATCTATTCTAATTTTGGAATAGACAATAGATATACACACCTGTAAACTCACTACGTCCTTTGTTTCTGTTTGTTTTCCTAGACTCATCCTAAGTATGAGTTCGAGTACGAGGTGAAGGATGGTCACACCGGAGATCATAAGGAGCAACATGAGCACCGCGACGGTGACGTCGTCAAGGGTCACTACTCCCTGCATGAGCCTGATGGTTCCATCAGACACGTGCACTACCACTCCGACAAGCATTCCGGGTAAATATTCTTCTGCTCTTTGCTTTTATTGATCTTGCACCTGATTAGTGACTACTCTCTCTAGTCGTTCTCTAGGAATCTCAAAGGAATCTCAATACCATTTATAAATAGAAAAGACTTAACAATAATGAATAGAACTTACATCACAACTGTAGAGAGTATGTACAGATATTGTTACTCATTTGACGAACTGTTATTTATTAATGTGTTTTTTTATATAAGAACTTCTTTCTGTTTTCAGTTTCCACGCTGATGTGAAACACAGCACCCACCACATCGTGCCCAAACATCATGATCATCATTATTGATTCATATTTCGTTACCAAATAAAAATGTTATGTCATTTACTTTGTTATGTATACTACACATTTGTTATATTGTTTTACTTTAAAAAATAAAATCTTCACGTTTATTTAATAATCTTCACGTTTAATTATAATTATCATCTCTACGATACTACCAGTAAATGCTGAATAATTCAACGTTTTTATCGTAGGGTAACCTATATATATAAGTACAAGACATCATATTGCAAAGTCCTCTAAGTTATTTCTAAAGTTGTTAGTAAACACATCATCTATCATGGCTATTATGCGTACAATTACATCAAATAACCGGATTGCAGAAAAATAACTCTAATTCTTAAAAACTTCAAATTGCTTGGTTTTATTACCAATTATCTCCTGCTACGGTTTCACTATTTGTTCTAATACTCAGTATGGTAGCGTGATAATTCGATCATAAATTACTTTGTTATCTTTTACTTAATCAAAGGTAATGAATGTACTTTGAAACAAAACACATACATTTTCCAGCATTACGAATATAACTTTAAAAAAATATTATTAAATCGTATAATTTTTATAACATTCATGTGTTTTTTATTTAGAGGTAATTTATTAAAACATGATTAACTAGGTTTTAGGTCTTTGTTTTTCCGATAATTACTAGTCACACTAAAGAATTTCAGGAACAACTTGCCAGCAGTAATCCGTATAAGTAATATTTGTATTGTATATTTTTTTTACTTAATTCGTCGTTACGTATTACGCTTTACAGCAAATAATTACTTACATACAAAACATCGCACCTTTTATCCCCGAAGGGGTTGGCAGAGGTGCACATTACTGCGCTCAATGTCACTGTACAATGTAACACCCACTTTTCACTATTTATGTTAAAGTCCATATAGGTTTTTACAAATGTTTTGTCAATATGTGCTTTTTAAATGATGTGCGATGAATAAAAAAGAAATATTTATTATTTTTCTCAAAGAATATTACTTTTATTTACAATGAAGTTAAAGTACCTTTTTGCATATGTTTTGAGTCACTTATATCCGATGTTTGCTTACAGGCACTGGCCTGTATCCTAAACCCATATTATCATGAAAAATATCTAAATATTATTCAAGTAAAAATCCTATTTTATATCAGAAAAATAATTATTATTATGCTAATTTTATTATCTATAATAATTCCAATGATGCCTGAATAGATAAAAAATACCTTATCAAGTATTTGACGCAAGTTTCTTCAGTGATGATTTTACAGATAGTCGTCACAGTCATTGAAGCTAGACAAGAATCACGACCCACATGTGAAGTAACTCTCGTAAGATCTAACTTCCTAAACTCACTGACCAGTGGACCATGCTTCTTTGATGCATCATCTACAAGCAGCGACAGTTCCCTGCTAGACTATAGGTCTTTTCTACATATAGCGAGACTATAATTTCCTCGCTTGACAGATAGCTTGATCGTAGATCGTAGTCTCACGGTTTATATTTATCAGAAAACGCGCCTACCGGGCGCTATAAAATGTTTATTCCTGAGATGATATCATTTTAATTTTTTTTAAACAAATATTGCCCTACTCTGCTATACAAGTTCACATACAGATGACACCCAGACCCAGAACAACAATCTGTGGAGCACACAAAGAGTTATTTCGTGCGGGAATCGAACCCGCGCCACGTTGCGCGGTAGCCAGTTACCCAGTACTGTATGGGAAAATACTCATTATCTCTCCTCTAGAGACAAGTAGGTGATACGAATTACGTTACAAATATTACATAACATAACATCACACCTTTTATACACGTAGGGGTAGGTATAGGTCCCATGTAATAGGGGGTGAGCTTATTGCCATATACCGGGCACATTTCCAGTCTCCGTGCTACGACTTAAAATGTTTTTAAAACCCAGTAATACTTTGCCCTACTCGGGAATCGAACCCGAGACCTCTGGCACTAGCGACCACTCGGCCAACGAGGCAGTCAGTTACAAATATTACGTACATACATTAAAATTGCAGTAAGTATCTAACGACTCGTTATAAATTACATTTATGACCGAAGAAGCAATAAAATGTGTAAGGTATAGGAATATCGTGTAAAGGAGCCATTAACACTACTGCGTTTATATCGAAGCGTGCTTCTGACACGAAATCTGTGTTTCTAATTTGCTATTCTATAATACAACCTTAATTCCAAATAAAAAATTATGGTAAACAAATTAAGCCCATATTAGATATAATAATAATAATAATAATAAATAACTGGCAACACCACGAGATGTCAACGTGCAAAATTTTACTCTGTTTTATTTCGGTTTATTTTTATAAATAATTCACACGTATCCTTATACCCAAGATAACAATAACAAAACCTTTTTATAATAATATATACTTACTGCAAAATCAACACCGACAATAGCAATATCCACAAACAATAAATGAAGAAAAATGTTTGACAGTGACAGACTACAAAAGGAAGATATGAAACAGAAAATTAAAATGTTATGATGTTGACGAGAGCCAGAAGCAAACAAGGCGCACCCCCACCACCTCCGGACTCGTCGCTCAGCTCCGCCTCGCCGTCGCCGGACCCCAGCCCCGCAGGATCACCGGTGACAGCAGTTGCGTCGAGCTCGAGCGACGACTATTTCTCCCCGCCGACGTCGCCGACACCTGTACGTCGGCCGGGGAGAGGCCGGCCACCGACGGGCTTGGGAGCCAGGGGCCAACAGGCCCCGGGACGGGTCCCCGCTACCGGTGGTTGTGTGCGGCGCATGAAATGGTCTCAAACCATAAATGAGAACGTCATGCGCTCGTACTACGGTGCTACAGAGGGAGGGACTAACCTCACTGCGTACCGTGAAAGGATGCTTTCTATATTTCAGGTTCTTGAGCCATCTATCAACGTCTCGGCCCAACGACTGTCGGATCAGGTGCGGGTCATCCAACGCAATCGCAGGTTGGATGAGGCTGCGCTTGATCGGCTACGCCTAGAAGCACTGCGCAATCGTGTCGTCCCTGCACCACCACAATCGGTGGCACAAACACCTATAGTCTCACAATGTGTGACGCCAACCACCCCTATCGTTGGTGTGGAGGATGACAGGGTTGAACAAGTGAGTACTCAGTGCAATGAACGATTGAGGAGTGCTTTGGAGGATGCGGTTCGTGAGTATAGACTTGCTCCTAGCAATTTAAGACCAAAATTACCACGTTTGCCCATGTGTAGAAAAAATAGGGCGCTGGTGAGCGCCTTGGATTCGCTACTTAAAAAATATTTTGAGAGTAGCGAAAACCTCTATGATACACACTCAATCTTGTACTGTGGGGCAGTAGCTGCTTGTCGAGTGGCTAACGTCAGATTCCCAAATCTTGACGCAGCAGTCCGACCAAAACCAGCAGTACCTGCCTGGCAGTATAGGATAGAGCGTCGTATCAGTGAGGCCAGGGTACTCATTGGCAAACTATCCTGCTTCAGGGAGGGCAATACTCGCCCTAGAGTGATGCGCTTTGTAAGACGTGCATTTGTGGGGACTGAAACCAGTCCTCATGAATACCTGTCACGTGTTACAGAGCGCATCGACTTCCTGAAGCAGAAAGTTTATGCATGGGCAAACCGTATTAGACGTTACAAAAAGAGAGTGGAGCGCTATACTCAGAATCGCATGTTCCAAAGAGATCAGAGGTGGGTATACAGAGATTGGGAACGATCCAACCAAGATGTGGTTGACGGGCGGCGACCGGATGATGATGCCACTAGCACATTTTGGCGCAACATCTGGTCGGTACCTGTTAGCCACACAGAAGGTGACTGGATGTTTGATGTTAAGCGAAGGTGTGAGACTATACCAGAGATGGAGGAGGTAGAAATCACCTCCTCTGATGTAGCCAGTGCAGCCTGTTCGGTCCCGAATTGGAAATCACCGGGGCCGGACGGACTGCACAATTTCTGGATTAAATGGTTCAAGAGTTCACACGTTCGCTTAGCATTACACTTCCAGGCAGCTTTGGAAACTGGGTCGTTACCACAATTTCTAACAACAGGAGTTACCCACTTGCTCCATAAATCAGGTAGTTCCACTGAGCC